AAAGCTGCCTCCATCCTCAAAGATCCCACCCACCCCCAGCACGGACTGTTCACTTCTCTGCCCTCTGGCTGGAGGATCAGAAGTGTTAAATGCAGGACCACTAGACTGAAAAACTCTTTCTTTCCCTCTGCCATCAGACTCCTAAACAGCTGAGGAGTTTATTACCAGGAAATACGTGATGTACTGACGACCTGTACTGTCTACATTCTGTTTGCACATGCATAATTGCACAATGATTGTTGAATGCTGCACATGCTGCTCCCCTGCAGCATACATTCTACATTATATTTTTTTTTTATTATATTGCTGCATTTGTTGCTGCTTAAAGTGCCTTAGATTTTGTGTTACTTATTTATGTACTTTATATTTCATTTGTATTTTGTGGCATTCATGTGGACGGCAAAGCAAGAATTTCATTGTACAGGGAAACACGTTTCACAACTGTGTATATGACAAAATAAACACTTTGAACTTTGAACTTACTGATTTTGGGGAACTTGATCTCATCATGGTCTGTATGAAACACTCAGATTAAATAACAGAAACCAACACAATCTGACTTCATTATTAGAAAACATTCCTTTAATCTAAACAACAAGGAAGTGGAACATTTGTTCAAATGTCCAATGACTTACTGATCGTGTAGAATAAGGCACATTTTAAAGCCCTGCCCATCCTCTGGTTTTTGTTTGTGAAACTTCTTCTTTCCAACTCACTTGATGTTCACAGAGCAGGAAAATGCCTGAAACTGAGGTAGTGTACTCTGATGTCAAGTTCACAAAGAAAAGGGGAAATGCCGAAGGTGAGTCTTAAGTTCATAAAGTTAGATCCAAAAATAAAATAATGCACTAATTGACTGTACAATTTTATGTGTGAAAAAAAGTGAACTGTGCAAACTTGAGAGTTTTACATTCGCAGCAGCATTTGAATTAGAATAACTCTCTTCCCCTCCTCTAGAAAGGTTCTAAATATTTCAACTTTATCAGCAGTCAGCGCACCTAGTAGTTTGCAGCAATACTTTGGTTTTGTGTTTTATGTTGCAGATGCTTCCACACCGCCTGAAACCACTTGCTCTGAAGTCAAAATTTTACATCAACCGTCCGTGGAGCTTCCTGGTAGGTCATAAACAGTAATGAATAAACTCTCAGTGGTCATCATGAGGCAAACAGCCACCTCACTAAGCAATTTATATTTGATTGTATTTTTCAGAATAAAAAGAAGGGCATTTTTAACCAGTTTTCCTCATTTGACTACTGAAGGAGGGCTCAGTCATAACACATAGGATTGTAAGTTAATTTAATACATGTTAATATATATTAAAAATACATAATGTTCAGAACATCAGCTTGATTCCCTCAAGAAACTTTATTTTATACAGCTGCAATAATCAGGTGACCCCAGGTTAGTTTACTGTAAAGCATGGTGAAATCAGAGTCAGGGGTAACATAAGGAACTGACTACGAAGAACGGTCATAAAAATTTACTTCAGTGTCACAACTGGTTTTTTCCTGTTTCTCTGAGCTGTGGTCACTTCTATTTTTATTTCTTTGAAAACCTTCAGCTGATCTCATCTTTATTCAGGTGTTGTTTTTTTATTAACACTCTCAGTTTATGTGGAGATTTAGATTTTCACCTGTGACGTGTGCAGACACCAAATAAAATGAGAAATGCAGCAACATGAAAAACAAATTCTATGATCTCACTATATCAGTGTCCAAAGGTTCCTCAAAATAGAAAGAAAGAAAAATCAGTGACATATAAATGAGCTTCCACAGCACAAAAGGACAATTTAAATATAGTGTTCTGCTTAACGTGTGCCTTGGGAGATGGTTTTAAAACTAACAACGACCCTCCAGACTGTAGTGATTCAGTTAAATAAGTTTTTGCATATTGTTTAACTTTATGGATTATGGTTTTAGAAACCAAGCAACAGATTTTTTTGTCTTTTCACAAATCAAATCAAACATGATAAAAGAAGTTGTGGTCTTATTTCACTCCATATACAATAATAGTGCACAGATGGAATTAAACTGCATCAGTTCAGTGACACACTTTATACAATATGAACAAAAACATTAAAAAAAAAGAACAGAGGACTCAGAATTTCAATTTAAGAACATTTAAAATATGGCATTTTTGAATACTTAATAGTATATGAAGAGTCTGGAACTGCAGCCAAACATCAGAATCAGAATCAGCTTTATTGGCCAGGTGTGATGGACACACGAGGAATTTGACTCAGGTACTTATACACTATAGTCACAGCAGGTGAAAGTGTTTCAATGGGCAAATCCAGAGGGTAAACACAATAATATGAACATAGTCTATTACAATCCAGTACAAAAAACATGAATGAATGATGATTTTACTGTTCCATTTCTGTCCAGATGATACAGAACTGGTAACTTATGTTGCACAGATGTTCATGTTATTGTGTCTAAAAGCTGCTGATCATCGTACACATATCTCACGTCTCTCGTATTTCTGTCACTTCTCCCTGTTTAGCTAACCCGCGAGCAGAGGCAAACAGAAGGTCAAGGGTCACATCAGAGAGAGTGACCCTGCTGGTTCTCTGTGTTTTCCTGATGGCTGCTGTTGCTGCAGTGTGTGTTGCCTGTGAGTTTGTACGGAGACTAATTAAAATTAAATACAGAACAAAACAGGGCAGATTGATGTTTTTTAGTAATGGGATGAAACCAGTTCTGCCAAATCAGTCACTGTTTTAGTGTGTTTTGGAACCAAATATAATCTCTCTGAGTTAATCTGAGTTTCTTTAAAAACCATCATTGTTCCTGATCAAATACTGATCTTTACTGACAACTTTCTTTTGTTTCAATCAGATGTGACTACTAAGACAAGATTCCAAAAGCTGGAAAATTATTTCGAAACTAAGACAAGATTCCAAAAGCTGGAAAAGGAGTATGATAAGCTGGAAAAGAAGTATGATGCTTTGAAGAAAAAAGTCAAAGGTACAGTAAACCTGTCGGTGTGTGAAACTGTCCACAGGGGTCACGGTAACATGGGACACATTTTGGACTAAGTTTGGATTTTTTATCATCTTTATTTCAAATACATGGCAAATTCTAATCTATGTTTTAATGATTTCACTATATTTTTCTGCTCAACTCTTTTGACTGAACCATGAAAAGGTTTTGTTAGTTTTCAGTTCAGGTTGCGAAACAGAGGCTTCTGATGAATGTTTGATTCATTTTCCTTCATAAAAGAGAGAAACTGAAGCAAAACCACATGAAGTGACACAGCCTTTGTCCCCAAAACCTCATGTAAGAGATATGTTATGCATTTTGTCTTTCTTATATCTGATACAGTCAGTCAGACAGTGTAGAATTTACCTTTGCACTAGCTCATGCCTGGAGTTGCAGGACAGGTGTCTTGCCTTACACCTGGTGCTAGTGCTGTGCACCTGTGAAGGAGGAAACTGCTCAGTTAAACTCACAGACTTACACTATTTAACCCTGAGGCTCCTGCTGCTTCCACATCACATGTAAACAGTGATTTCTTCCTCCTGACTGTAACACTGCTGTAATCTCTTCAAAGACACACAATGTTGGAAGTGTGAACAAGGCTGGGAGAAGCATAAAGGACAGTGCTATCATTTCTCCAACAAGACTTTACCCTGGAATGAGAGCAGACACCGATGCAAAAAAATGGGAGGAGACCTGGTTGAGACTTTATCCTGGAATGAGAGCAGACATCAATGCAAAAAAATGGGAGGAGACCTGGTTAAGATTGACAGTGAGAAGGAGCAGGTAGAAAACACTGCTGCAGGTTCATGGTCTCACATCACATCTTTGTGTTTCATCATGTCTCACAGTGAATCTCCTCAACTCTCCCTATTCAGAGATTCCTGGTGGAAAGAATCAGAGACAAAGAAACTAATGATAAGGAGTTCTGGATCGGGCTGACAGACTCAAAGGAAGAGGCAACGTGGCTGTGGGTGGACAACTCAACACTGAGCACAAGGTTTGATTGTTATGAACAAATTTTCTATTTGTGTTCAGTATCAAAGTTCCCAGTGTGACTGATCCAGTGGTTTTGTTCTGTTAGTTTGATCTTTTGGCACGGTTTGGAGCCGAACAACGCAGGAAATCCTGATGGAGAGGACTGTGTGACCTTGAGGGTGAATGAAGCAGAAGACCTGAAGACCTGGTTTGATCAATCCTGCAAAGCCGATCACAAACGAATATGTGAGAAACCAGCAGAATTAATAATGTTACATTAGTCTGACATCCAGTGAAGTGTGAATTCTGAGCTTACCTAACAACCTCAATGGAGAAATGCTATTATTGATAAAGCTAATGTATAATAAATAATAAGGTTTGTACACATTGAGGATCTCCTTCAGACATGTTAATAAAAATACATTGCTTTGCACAATATTTTGTCTGATATGTCAAAAAGCTGCATGGCCATTACAAGTTCTTCTGTTTATATCAGTTCATTCTCTCATTGATATATTAATAATCTTTGAATATGTAAGTATGTCTAAAGTTCACCTACATGACACAATATGTCTCCTACTTAAGCATGTTCTCAGTATGTGTGACCTGGAGACTTCAGGTTTCCACATTTGTGTGAGCTGTTTATTGAACCACTATTCAAACGTGTGAAAACAGGCATCTGTGTCAAACTGCGCTCGGACATCGTTCTGCACAGTGAAGCTCAAATATCCAGGTCATGAAACACAAAAGAGAAACATGTTTTTAAGTGGAAGGGAACTTTAAAATGCAGATTTTTTAAAATGAGAACAAGAAGTGACTGTGCAGAATTAACCAGCTGTTACTGATCTTTTTAATTTGTGATCCAACAGCAACAAAAATGTTTTATAAAGCATTTTCACCAATAAACTCCTTGTGTTTTCACTTTGTTTGTAACTTTAAAGCAACACCACTGATCCAACCTGTACGGTGCTGACATACAAAAGAAGCTGTCTGGCTTACTGGATGGAACAACTCATTAAAATCTGTAGATGTGAATTAGTCACTGGTGTGGACTTTGCAATACTGTTTTCCTGCTGTAGAACCTGCTGCAACTAAATACACAGATGTTGTGTATAAAAATTATAGTAGACAACAACTGTGACATAAATATTCAGTGAGGGGAAGGATAAAAGTCTGTGGCAGAGAAACAGTCTAGGGAGGAGACCAAAGAAAGCGAACCAGAAGGGATCAGCCTTTCCACATCTGTGGATTCAAGAGTTTGCATCTAAGAAACTGAGATGACAGAAAGAGTTTAGCTCCATTTAATAGAATTTACTGTTTCACATCTGCTGTGAAATCCGGTAAAACTAGACAGAATCCACATTATGTGTGGTCACAGTGAATAGCAGCACTCTGACTGGATCTGGGAAGGCTAAACCATTGTAGTTACAGGCTCAAAGGCTCAGACACAAAAACTAAATATCACTGAAGTGAATCACTACACTGAGCAGGTACAATGACTACGCATGTACAACAGATACAGCCATGACTTAACAAACCAGCCTGGTCAAACAGTGTAGGAGGATGAAAACATGTCTCAGTCTTCACAGACACAGGGCGGCCTCACTCTTTCACAGCTTGCAGCAACTAATCGCCCTAAACAGCTCCCCCTAATGACGGAGGGCTGCAATCCGAAGCCTCTGGAGGAATCCAGCAAATGGTTGTTCAACAAATGAATGTGTTTTAACGCTGTAGCTTTAACACCATAGTAGCAGGAGAAATACCTTCACATAAGACCAGCATGTGTTGTGCAGCGTACCTCCAATTGGCCAGGTCAGTCTTGTTTTTTTGTTTTGTTTTTAATTTGGAGGTTTGCTTAGTCCTGTAACAGAATAAGTACAACAAGGATCACTCTTCAATAGTTGTATTTATTAAAAATAAAAATAAGCATTTAGCAGTGACTCAAAGAAAACAAAACAATACCCAAGACTTGATTAACACCATAAATCATCAGTTTATGTAAACGTATTTCTTACCTCAGCCTTTTTCTTTTTTAGAGCTGAACTCAATCAGGAGCTGGTCTGTGGCGTTCGACCAGTCTTAAATCTACTCTTAGACCACTCTAGTGCAGAGATAGGTAACATCTATAGGAGAGCGACCCCCTGGAACCTCCTCTAAGAACCGCAGGTGTGATCCCAGTTTTACAGTTTTACAAAAATAAAGACTGGTAACAACCAGTGACACCAAAAAAAAAAAGAAGAGGAAATCTAGCTCCATAACTTTATTGTCAACAATGTTGTGGAACAAATCGTCATTGGGGATCAAATATTTAGAGCATAGCAACCTGTTGGAAATATTCAGCAGTGATACCACTGTTGTTTTTGTTTGTCTGAGGAAACCGTCCTGTGTCTGAGTGATGAGTCAACGAGCTACCAGAAGTGTGGAGTCCTGCCACAGACGCTCAGATCTGCTACAGGTCACACAGCACAGCACTGAATGTTTATAACACTGGACATTTTTTTGTATTATACTGGGTGCTGAAGTAAAATGGCCTGTAACTGTTGACTTCTTCCACAAGGTCGCTGCAGTGAACAGAGCTGAGGTCAGTTTTGTTTTTAGTTTAATAAAAAGGTAAATTAGCCCTAACTAACTGTTTTTGGTCACTTAGAGGCAACTGAAACATATTGTGAACATAACTTTAACAAATTAGGTTAATATGTCGAGCTTAATAGCAAACAGTTTACACATCAACTTTAGCAGCTACACAGGAGTCCTGTTTCTGGTCACATGATAAACGCAAGTCCACTGTTCACTCGCTCCACCAACTCATGAGGGAAATATGTGGCTCTTTAGCTGCTAAATGCCCCCGTTTGTCCTGTCCCAGACCTTTGTTGCATGTCGTTCCCCTCTCTCTGCATTTTTCCTGTCTGCACCTGTGTGTGATTAACTGTCAAAGAATGAAAAAATGCCAAACAACTCCATGATATCCACGTTTAAACACAGTATTTTGAAGAAAACAAAAAAGCTGCCTTCATTCCTCTGAATCCTCCTCATCATCATTCACAAATGGTGGGCCATCTGTCGTCTGTTGGGCCGTACCTCTACTAACACCCTGGTGCAGCTCTCGGACAGTGAGCGTTCGTATGAGCATGGCCTCCATGGTGCTGTCATCCAGAGGGGTGGAGGAGAACCACAGAGGGCTGCTGGGAACACAGTGCTGATCTGGGTGGAGGTAGAACAAGTCTCCGTGTTGCCTCACAGACTCGGGGCTGGATAGGAGAGAAAACATTAAAATTTAAGATGGTTGTGAGCAGTGAGCACATGGATGAAGCTGAAGAGACAACAGCACAACTACACAAAAAAAGCGTAAAGCTCAGTGAGACAATCACCACTTGGAGAGGTAGAACTCATAGAGTCTGATCGGGCAGCGGAGAAAGTTCTTTGGGTTCTCCATTATCTCCAGGAAATTCTCTTTATTCTCATTCTTCTTACGTTTTTTAGGTGGAACTCCGTCTGTATCTGGAAAACACACACACACACACAGTGAAATATCACAACACAAATGATTCCAAGCACTTTACTATTTCTTTTCATGACAAAGGCATCTAGGTACAACGCTACACACGGTCTGACATAGTGCAGGCAAGTACATTTACGTACTGCATTCCTATATGTTAAGATCACTGCACTTACCACATGTTGGTATGGAACTAATGTATTTCAGTTTGAACCTGAGCCACGACAGTACCTGGCTCTGTCTCGTCTGTTGATATGGGCGGGTAGAATTGCAGGACAGTGGTCTTGGTTTTGTTCGGGTTGGTTTTGGTGCAACATGTGATGCGAGTGAAGGACAGCTGGCGGTGCTGCTCCACCGTGGTGAAGCCAAAGTATTTGCAGAAGAAGAAGAGCAGCGTGTTGAGGAGGACGATGGGGGAGTACGCCCCCAGCTGTTTACAGCCCCACAGGAACCCCTCCTGCACACGGGAATGGATGTAACCTGGAGAGGAGAACAGAGCTGATATAAATCTGGCCAATCTGACTCATTCAGAGAAAGAAAAAGACAAGGACATGGACTCACCATCGGCTGAGACCGAGGGTTTGAACTGTTTCAGGATCTTGGTGAACTCTGCAGAGAACTTGCTGTACATCAGATCACTGAATATGTTCTCCATACGACCGTTTTCAAACAGGTACTGCAGATAAACAACAGCAGGCAAAACAAGCACTGTGTGATGTCCCTGCAAAGGCTTCTGAGAAGCATGAATGAAGTAGTGAATGAAAGCTTCCAGCAGAGAGATACAGTGTAACACAACTGAAGAAGTTTTTCAAATATACTATTTATTGTTCATTATGAATTCAGCTATTTGATGATAACAAACTTTAGGGTAAATGCTCAAACCATAGTGATCAGGATGACCTGAACAGCCTTGAAAAGACACACACTGATAGATAAATCCTACCATTATACAACAGGGTAGTGAGCACCCTTTATGTTTGTGCACAGCGTCGTTCATCTGACCTGCTGGATGCTGAGGCAGAGGCAGAACAGGCTGTCGGGGGAGCACCGCGCTCCATCGGGTCGTTTCACCTCATGGATGAAGTGACAGAGGCCATTGCTCAGTTCAGCCACGGAGCAGCAAAGAATATCCTTCTTTAACTCGACTGCATGAAAGGAGAACATCTGAGTGGATGTTTTGGTTTTTGTTTTTTCAGACTTGCAGCCAAAGTCTGACAACACCTGATTCCTCGTATTTATTTTAAGATTAGGGGCTGCAGCTAACTAGTTATTTTTGTTATTGATTTATGTGTTTTGTTTTTTAATAAAAGGGCAGTGTGTAAAATGTTAGAAAATAATAAAAATACCAAGCCCAATAGCAAACTGTTTTGGTTAATCAACAGCTCAAAAACTAACATTATACTGAACTTAAAATGATATAAAACAGAAAAAAGCAGCAAACCCTACCATGACAAACTGGGAGAAGATATTTGATTCATGTTTTTGCTTGATAAAAGATTAAAAGATGAATCAATTGTTAAAATTACTGCATGCATATTGATTGATTCCCTGTCAGACAACATCATCTCTTAATTACTCTTCTATTATTCAGGTTAATAGTTGGCTTGTGTTTTATTGGTGCTGCTAATGATGTAAACAGCTACTTGTACAGTGTTGATTCTGGTACTGCAGCTGAAAAAGAAGTATCAACAATAATAGATGTCTGTTTACAGTTTAAGAAGCTATTGTTCCAGTAACACCTGACACAAAACTTTAAACTTACTTCAAGAAAAAATCCTGAGCTTTCTGAAACGGAAGAAAGACATACCAGTAATTGAACATACCAGACACAGGGTCCAGGCCAGTTTGCGATTCCCTCCACTGAATCCATCTCTCCCAGGCATCAATTCCACAGCGACTCTTCGGTTTGTGGTGCTTCCTAGACATGACCTTAGAAAAGTCCCTCTGAGATGTCCCCTCTGCCTCAGTCAGCTGCTGCAGCTTGCATTCCTTGGACAGAGAGGAGAGACAAGATTACACCACAGAAAGATGAGCCCACAGCTTCTAGCCCTCAGGTGGTGTGCTACCTTATGCATTTTGTGGACTTTCCCCAGAGTTTCCTGTAATAGTGGGGGAGCAGGGGCAGGGCTCGGTGAGCTCTGGGGGTTCTTTCTCAAGTGCGGAGCCGGAGAAGCCGGAGGTGGGAGTTCAGGTTGAAGGTTGCTGGGCACGTCTGAAACTGGAGCCAGTTTCTCATGGGTGTGGGGTGAACTGGGTGACCTGAGGCTGGTGTCAGGGAAGGAGGCGGAGGAGTGCCCGCTGTTGGAACTATCCAAGTTATTTTTACCAAGATTGCAGCTGCTGTTGTGGTCTGAAAATAATGAGGATAAGTCAAAGATAAACCCACGGTGCACAAAGATTTTGCATGATGTTCTTTATTCAGTTCAACTAAGCCATCTGAACCAGATTAAAACAAAAACTTGTTTTCCTATTGTTGGCTGATATTATAGGGCGTGTCTGTAAGGTCTACTGGGAAAAAGGTGGACTCACAGCACACACTTAGACATGTCATAGCAGAAAAGCCACAGGAGTAATTAGTAACACTAAAAACAACTGCAACTAAATGAAAGAGCAGCTGTTAATATCTTTAGTTACACCTGTGCTTTCCTGCTAAAACAAATCAAAGTTATGTTCACATCAGACTTCTACAGCCTTTTCTTCTACACAAGCAAGTAACTCAAGGACACAAGCTAAACTCCTGATCTGTCTCCTGTGGGATAACAGCCTCCCTGATTTCTTACAGTAGTAATCTCACACACAGCTGCTTTGTGTAAGAAGCTGTGACCGAGAAAACAAACTCATGAGAAATGTGACACAAACACATTCACACATGTTCTGTCTTGTTGTGTATGTTTTAATTGTGACATGAATCAATTAAGAGTGAAATCACATATCATATCCTCTATTTTAGGGGAAAGGAAAATCCACTCTAAAATGCACATACAGTAAGTGTGTCTGTGATGATATTTTATGTCAAAATGAGCCAGATTTGTTTAAAAATGTATAGTTAAAATCAGTTTCAGTGTCAGACTATGCTATATCTGACATCACAAGGCCGCTCACAGTGTCTGTATGTTTTATGTGTGTCTATTTCTCTTTGTTTTGGATGAATAAATGGGACACCACCCTCTGTTGGCAGACAGAAATGCACAAGTTTGTACAAGGCCTATACATTTGTGGAAATATGCAAATCCTTCAACTCCTGCCGTCATAAGCCTGTGTGACAAACATAAAAGATTCTTTCACTGGTCTAAAAACTGTGATAGTACAATTATTTCATGTCATTATCTAAAGTCTTACCCATAAAGGCCTGAGTTTCTTGTGTTTCTCCTTCTGTTGTCACCTCTTTCTCCGTCTGTCTGTCTTCTGTCCCATTCTTGTCATCCTGTTTGGTCTCCATTTCAGACGAGACTTTGAGTTCCCCCTCAGAGGCTTTGGGCTGCATCCTCTCTGTCATGTCTTTTATTGTTGGCTCAGGGTTGTTCAACATAACAGGGAGGAATATCGGCACAGGCAGCTATGAAAGGCACAGATTGGGAAAGATAAACTTAAGAAACTGCTGGTGAGACCTGGAGCTGTTAAACATCACTGAATCATTACAATTAATAAACACTGTTTCTGTTGCACAGTGTGTGTCTTAAACGGCAGAGTAACCACCAGAGAAAGCAAATTTCCTTCTTTAAATTGCTCGGTTCTTCCCAAGGTTCCCTATAATCTCAAGAAAACCTGACATCTGAATGTCGTTAACATTGAACCCAGGACCAACCACTGACCAACCAATGAAAAGTGGGAAGACACTGCTGCAAGTCTGTGAAGCAGCTGACTGAAGAGTTTATCACAGTTCAATTAAAGCACAAAGATGAGATCAGAAAACACAGAGGCTCTTTTCTGTTCAGTGAGAGAAGGGTTCCAAGGCAAGTGCAGGTTTTCCTGATAAATTGAACTTAAGCATCATTTAAGAGAAACAATAAAGAATAAGAATATTTTTCTTGCACTGCAGAGCACTAATATTTGATATTAGTATGTGATCACAGTAAAACAAGGCAGTGTTGGGGGTGTTTTACATACTGGTAAGGGCAGGCCCAGGGGCTGTGGGGTGTACTGGCTATACATGTTCATAGGCAGAGGAACGTAGACTGGCACCGGCAGGACTGTGACCTTGGGTACATAGTCGTCTTCACGCAACAGAAAAAAAGAAAACCGAAGACAAATCAAAGTTTAATTCTGAAAAGAAGGTATGTGTGTACATCATAGCATTTGTATACTTTGCATATTTGACCATGAGCAAAGACATTTTCTGATGCACTGTACTGTCATGATTCGGTTCCACTGCTTCCTGTCTGGCTTTTATTTTGACACTATTTCCTGTTTTGTTTCACCTTAGTTCTGGTCTTTTCTTTACATTCATCACTCACATTAGTTTCACCTGCTTCGTTATTTTGTGCACCTGTTTTCATCTCTATTTAGGCAGCGTCCTCCCATGAGGACGCTGCCAGATTGTTCTAGACCCCAGCTCTGACTTTCCAGCAATATATTCGGTTTTTGGTATTTTGTGTTTCTGACCCGGACTGTTAATTGGATTACCCTGTATTGCCTTGCCCTCTTATCTCGGACTGCTCATGTGTATCGGCTTATCGGACTTTCCCCTCGGACTACGCACTTTGGATTCCCCTGGATGTACGTGTTTGCTGGCTCTGACCTGGGACCGATACTGACCGTGAGTTTTTGTGTTCTTTGGTATTCTTATTTCTGCAGAAAGGAACGGTCTAACAACATCACTCAGAAAGAGGTCTGTTGGAGAGGCTCGAAAAGCAAAAGAGAACTCAGTCAATATATATACATGGTTGCACACACAAGGTTTGGAAAAGCATCAGAAGAAAGGAATTTGCACTGATAACATTCATGCACATGTGCTTCTCATTAGGCAGAGGTCCTTGTCCTCCCCGGTACAGAGAAGTATTCAGGAAGAGGGAGTAGATCCCTTTCAAGGACAATTTATGCTACATCTTGTTGCTGTTCATACACTTAGTGTGTCAGAGTTCACCACAGTCTAACAGGCTACAGATTAAGGCAAAGGTGAGAAAACCAAAAATTGCTATTACGGAGTAAACTTACGTGTCCTACGACCTTTGGCTGAATCTCAAGAACTGAGCCTGTGGAGATATGACAGAGTTAGAAAAAACACAAGATCTGGATGTATATTTGTGTGTTTGTGTTTATACCTTGTTTTGCAGTAAGGGAAGATTCACTGGGCTGCCTAGTGAGAGCGCTAGCAAGTGAAATAACGTTAGCGATGACAAGGGAGGATGGCACTGTGCCTGAAAATCCAGGAGGTGGACAATCTGTAGTTAGAAAACAGAAGAGTCAGCAGGTGCCGTTAGTGATAAATCCCATGAGCGCATGAAAAAGTCAAAACCATAGACTGCATATAAAAGATGTCACCACTTCCCCCCACTATGCCAAAGTGACAACAATATATCGTGAATACAGCGGCTGCCATCTTGGCATTTTGCAATCAGATTCTGCACATAGCGTTGGAGTAGTTGAGTCACACATCAAATCTGTCAAATCAGCTGAATCACTGAAAATCCAAACCAGGGTTGGACACACGTCAAACCAAAAGGACTTTACAGGGCAAGTTTATTTCTGCAACACATTTTCAGAATTGATAGAATAAGTAAAAGTGGCATATTAATAAAAAGCTGAGAAAAAAATAAATAGTCTTTAACTTAGTTTTAAAAATGGCTACAATTGGGGCAAATCTAAAGCGAGCTGTTTCCAGCTGTGGGCAGCATCATGGCTAAAAGCCCTTTTCACTATGTTTAGTATGAAGTATGGCCACCACTAACTGACCAGTCCCTGCAGATCTGAGACCACTACCAGGCTTCTACTCAGCAAATTTTAGGCCTACACCACTGAGAGACTGCTCTTGTCACAAGATGAAAATATGTAAAAAATGGACAAATTCAGACTTAAACAGGGTTGTGAAGTATTAAAAGACAGCAACCAACAGGGTGCTGCAACGACAATACAAACCTGTGTTGACCATCTGGACCTTTTTATTGCAGAAGTGTAGGAGACATTTCAGGTCACAGAAGTATTTGACCTCTCCCAGCATGGTAAGACTCTGTCTCAGTTTCCCTTTATGGCCACAAGTGTCACACTTGGCAACCTGAGAGAAAGCAGAGAGTTGTGGTGAAGTCAGCACAGAGGATTTATCATTAATTTGGGATTTCAGGATTTTTCACATGCAGGACAAAACATTTCAACTGTGTTACAAGGAAATTGCATATTACTTATTTTAGCGAGAGCACGCTGTGCTAATAAAAATTTAAAAACTACATTTGCAACCAATTTGTTTGTGCAGTGGAGGAACTTCCGATTAAACTTACACAGCAGAAGAGCATTTTGAACTTTGAGCTGCAGTCTTCAGAGCAGAACTCCTCATCAGTGCCTTCATACTTTGCTGTCACCACCGTTTTGGAAATGGAGTGGCAGTAAGCACACAAGCTACAGTGTTTCCCCCACGTCTTCTCCAGCTCATGACAAAAGATCATCTTGCAGCCTTGGAGGGGTCAAAGACAAGTCTTGACTTGGTGTCTTTATTGTACTTTTACCTTCTGATACTGCAGTTAACTTTTGGGTCATCACGTGAACTGAGCCATAAACACTGCATCCTATGTCTGAAGGCTACACAATCCTGCACTACACATTTTCATTCATTTTTCTTACCGTCACAGCAGAAGTAGCAGTCTTTGCCATCAATTCTTTTAGCATCTCTGATGATTCTTTCATTCTTGCAATATTCACACACACCCATGATGTTGTTGACCCTTTTAAATTCTTGAGAACAGGCCAGGCTACACACAAAATTCATTTTGCCCTGCGCAGACAGAGTTAAATATATTTTAAAAAATATATTTACAAAAATATCAGTGTAACTTAAGGAATTTCTAGGCTATGACGAGAGTTTAAGAGGATGCAGGAGCATCCTGTCATCACAGCTTTTTCAAGACTACTTCAACAGCAGTCAGTCTGTGAAACAATATGTGCCTTGGATCATACCCGCTGGAGCAGCCAACACACCTCTTTCTGGATGACTTTGGGTGTAGCTTTTATAATGCGCCGACACTGGGCGCATGGCAGCTTCTCTGGTTGTTTGGTAAAATCACACTGGGGGTGGTCGGAGGCTCCTGTCAGGTTAGTGGCAGCAGTCATGTCTTTCTGACTGTCCTGAGGTACAGAGAAGCATGTTCATGTACACGGGAAAAAGCTTCAGTGAACTACCTTACTGCAACCTGTAAAGTCTATTACCTTAAAAGCCATAGCACAGGTAAGAGTGCAGAAGTTTCTGACTGATCCATTGGACATAGCGAGGTGGCAGGCTGGAACTGTAGTCTTTCCACAGTTATCACAATTCAGTGGAGTACCTGTGGAGAAGGAGAAGCAGCTGCTTAGAGACTAATATCGCAAGTACATAAGGAACAACCTCAGAGATCCTGAGATAAGAGTGAATTTGAAGACTTAGAGGTTTCATGGAGGTGAATTAGAGGTCTTCGATGATTCACTTGGTTACAACTAACTGATATATGAGCCTAGATTATATCCAATCTACTTGAGTTTGTCAGGGTCCTGTTTTATTTCTGTCTCTTCTGTTCAACTGACAAAAGACAGAATGAACTGGGCAGAGAAAATGGCACACGTGGCACTCTTTCTGACTGTTGCTGCTTATCAACAGGTGCTGTGTCATGCTGCCAGGAGTGTTGATATTCTCTCTGCCTATTCATGTAGGCCACAATTTGGATCAGGAATCCATTTGGACTGGATCTGACATGTGCTTTCTTCCAGCCAGTGCTTTGTTTTAAATATTTTTTTAATGTACACTGGTCTTGGATAGGTTTTCCAGTGATCTGCTTCGGCTGATGAAGAACACTAGAAGTAGAATAATATTGTCCATCTACAGTGTGAGATCCACAGCTTTCAGCTTTAAGGTCTTCTGACACTTGAAGTTGTTCAAGGCAACTAAACGTCTGCACAATCTTTAGGCAGAAATACTCAGTTCCCCGAGAGGAGGAGAAAGAGCAGTTGTCCAGTACCTGATGCACTGATGGCCTGGATCCTTGATGCCATCACACAACTGCTGGTGCAGAAGAGCTCCACTTCGTTTTCACTGTTGTGGTTTTCAACCATGTCTAATATCCGAGTGGAGGTGCGACACATGGCACACGGCTGTGGTGTTTGGATTTTCTACCAAATAATAAAAAGCAGAGAGAAAATATTAGATCCCATCACCATCATCTCTGTGTAACTCAGAACATTTTACATTTGGAAAATATGAACGGGGTGAGTGTAACTGAGAGACACCATGTCCTGTCCCATTGTCACTGGGTTTATGTACAATATCTCAATTAATGCACATTTAAAGTAGTAACAGAAGTTTACAAAAAGGTTAAAAATGTATAAATCTAAACCAAAAACACTATATATACCTGTTTGAGTTGGGCCAGACACTCTGCACTACATAGTTTTTTACTGCCATGTTCCATCTTGAGAATGAGCAAGGTGTTGCAGTGGGAGTGACACTTCTCACAGAGAGAAAGTTTGTTCAAGGTGCAGAACCGGAGAAAACAGGGGTCACTGCAGATCTTGTGGACAACGCCATCCTGTATGATTTCATGTTTGCTCTGCGGGAAGATAAACAGTGTGTAAACCACAGTTCATACTACTTTAAATTCATATAACAAATGGCAGTGAGGTGAAATGTGTATATGGAGATTAAGATTTTAATTTTGGACATAAAAAGGTTAATAAGAATGACTGATTGAAAA